GACCTGGCATGAATGTATGAAAACTCGAACCAGGACACTGGGTTACATAGGAGCCGTCAAACTCCCTGGATCATTACTCCGAGATTATCGTAACCGGTTTTCTAAGGCATTTCGTGTGAATTCGCTATCTTCCTCGTGTATTGGCTCTCAGCGCTGCGATCTTCGTTTCGTACTTTTATCGGAATGGGCGTGCAAAAACCGCAATGAAAACCGACGCAATAAAGTGCATGGTTTTTCTATGCAAAATGTGGACTGCTTTTGTGTAAGGTGGGATCAACATTTTTTGGACGCACATATTGGGATTAAGCAATGGGATAAGTAACACCACACTTATTGCCAACAGTTTTGCATCGTAATTAAGGAACAACTGTTTGAAAGAGTAATCGTAATGAATTATGTTTTTACTTGTCCTGACGTTTTTTACTATTGGTGACTCTGGTTTACGAATCACCGTTTGATTACTGGGGGTGGATAATGTCGTCGTCTTCACCATCCACTTGGGACTGTTTCCGGCCATATTGATAATAGTCAAAAATCATGGATCCCTATACTTCTTGCTTCTTCTGGTTAATATTGGAAGCTACAACATTTTATTCTTTGGCAAACCGTATCTAACACCTTGTCCCATGTTGCTTCGCTACTCCTCGAATGGCAAGAGGTTATTATTTCGTCAGGGAACTTTCAGCTGTATCACAGTTACGCTCTTTGTCCCAATATCAAATTTTTTTTTTCTTCTACTGATCAGGTTTACGTATATCCATCTAACCCCGGTCCGGTTTCACCGACATATGGCAAAATATTGAATATCCTCTATCGCTCGGATTTTCTGACAAAAAGACCTGAAGAAGCCTGCTTATTCGTACCCAGTTTTGACACGCTGGATCGGGATCCACTGAGTCTTCAATTCGGGCATCGTGTAGCCAGTCAGTTGGTTAGTTTACCTTTCTGGAACAGATTGCCGGATAGGCGCACAGAAGAACAATCACTCCTTGATGCGGACCTCGGTAAATGTATTTGGGTTATGCAGTTGATTAACGCATAAGGCTTCATGAATTTTCTTGTAGTTTTTCACTTGATGCGTTATACTTGAACTATGCTTTTCTTCAAATCGTGCTTACTTGACTGTCATTTCGGTGTATTGTATTCATTTCTGTCTCTTATTACACGTAAACAGATTTACAGTGAAAAAAACCAAATCTATTGTCCGAAGACACTGCGGGGTGGGGTGAGAGGTTGGGGGAAGCATTCACCATGGTTGCAGATCTTTTTAAATACTCCCACAGAACCTGTTGAAAACAACACAACTCGGTGAAGGGGCACAACATTGAACATGATAAATTACACAAAAGGGTGGATTTTGATGGAAAATTACAGCCCTACTGATTCAAATTTGACCCCGAGGGTGTGTGCGTGTACGAAGTTGATCACGGGTTCATATCTTCAAGTGGTTGCACACGTGTTGAGGAAGTATAAGTTATCCAGGGGAGTTTAAATGCTTCTCGAATCTATTCAGTATCCACAGGTATGTTTCTATGATATTAAATGCTTGCCGAGTTTGTTGGTCCTTGCTTCGTTGAGATGGAGGTCGGAGGTCAGAGTATGCAAATCTTGGAATGCCCTTCCATCTCATGTCGTTTGTGCACCCACTATTGAATCTTTCAAGCAGAGACTCGACAAAATCTTGGCACACCTCACATTCGTACACTAAAGGCAAACGGGATTCACCTTAGCCTACATTCTCTATCTCCTACCCGGATCCCTATGTGACTCCTTTTTTGATGTGTAATGATTCATCTATGTAAACATCCTATGGGACAAGAGAAGCACCAGCTTGTAAGCTATCCCCATAATAAAACTTTGACTTTGACTGTGGATCGCGGTTGTCCCATAGTTTTGTTATTCTACAACAAGCGGTGACTTTAAACCACCCGTACTGAAGTTATAGACATTCTTAACTCCAATTTCCCCATGTCGAATGCGGTGAAGCAGAAACAAAAAGCAGAATTCGTGTGGATGCAATCTGTAAACCTTGATGGACACTGGAACTCACCGATTGGGGCTGTAGTAGTTAAGCGGCACTGATAAGAGAAAACTTCGACGGATATCCTCTACTCGCAAATTTAAGGTATCACAACCATAAAGCAGAACTGAACGAACGGTGGCATTATATACAAGACCCGTTTTACTTCAATGAGACATCGCGTTTACACCAAAGGTGTTTCAGTCCTGCGTATTCTGCTTGAGCCTTGGAAATGCGGGCGGTTATCTCCTTTGCTGCGATGCCGTCATTGGTCACGCAACTAACCAAGTAGTAGAAGTAATTCACCATGATTAATTCGTGGGCATTTACTTCCAGAGCGGGAGCAGGTGAAACCCAGTCCTGCAGCATCACTTTGCACTTTGAAGGTGCGAAGCACATACCGAATGTGGGAACTGCACTTGTTAGTCTATCAAGTGCGCTTTGTGCGTCCTCCAAACATTGGAACAAAAAGACGATGTAATCGGCGTACTCCAAGTCGCATAGGTTTTCTCCAGCTGCCCGTTCAATACGTACTTTTTGGAGACCACGAAGTGCGTCCTCCAGTATTTCTTCAATGATGAAATTGAACAGGAAGGGCGAGAGATGGCATCCTTGGCGAAAGTCGCTGCTAATGACGAACGGCCTACTTAGTTCGTTGGAAACCCTTACACGACCGGAGGTATGCGAGTACTGTGACCTCAGTAGGTTAACGCATTTCTGGGGCATTCCTTTTCGAAAAAGGGAGCCCATCAGAGCTTCGCGGTCAACTGAGTCGAAAGCTCCTTTAAGGTCAGGGAACACTGCGATCGTTGGTCGGTGGTGGGTGTGACACAGCTCAAGCACCTGACGCAACGTAAAAATTTGATCAATACATCCACGGCCAGGCCGGAATCCGGCTTGCTGTTTACGGATGTCGGCCTCTCTTAAAGGCGTCAGACGTCACAGTGTGATCGAAGCTAGCACTTTAATGACTGTCAGGATCAAACTTATCTCGCGGTGGTTTTCGCAGTAGTCGCAGGATTCTTTCTTGAAAATGGGAATGATCAGTGATTCGCCCCAAGATGAAGGAATGTGCTCTTGCGTCCAACTGTTGCGCAGTAGGGTAATAATAGAGCTAACGAGTTTATCACACACACACCCCCATCTTGAAAAGAGTGGGGGACAGCTCATCTGGTTCTGCTCCTTTGCCTCGCTTCAGAGCCTGAATGCAAGACCGAACTTCTGCTTCCATTGGAGGATCGCACGATACTACCCAAGGAGCTTCAGTTGCGGATGAGGCAACCTGGTTAGCGGCAGGCCAGTTGAACAGTTCGCTGAAGTATTCTGCCTAGCGATCAATTCGTTCATCCCTATTGTGAATAGCTTGTCCCATCTTATCGCAGACTTTTTCACTAACTGGAGTTTGCCGACCTCCCGTGTCGCGTATCAGTCGGAACACTCTTTGACTATTCCCAGATGCAGCTGTTATTTCCATTCAACTAGCATTTGTTGCCCACCAGTTTTCACGGTCCTTCTTAAGGCTCTTCGTGAGCTAACTTTGTAGGTACGACCTAGCTCTATTTCGATCCTAGCAGGTTGGGATTGTCATTTTTTCTCCATCAAAACTATTGGCTTCTAAGATATCTAATGCCTCCGACGGGTTTGATGCTCAGACCCACAAGCAACATTCCCTGTGGAATGCATTGCTCGCCTAATCTGATCCCACTGCTCATCTAAATCATCAGGATGAGGTGCGCTTAGCTCACGTACTAGCTCTGACTCATGAGCGCACGAACTGCTGGAAGAGATAGCCGATGGTAAGCTATCCGAGTTTGCTGTTTTTATCGTCGACCAGTCAACCGAAGAGTGAACTGCATCGGAACTAATGCGTGGTCAGACTCAACGCAGGTGGTCCAATAGAACTTGCAATTTTGCACTGAGCCACACCAACGGAATCTGACTGCTATGTGGTAGATTTGAGTCAGCGTACCAGTTGGGCTGGAGCGTTGCGGTCCGTCAAGAGCTGTATCGGAAGTTGGTGCTGGCTAGGAACAGATGATGGTCTGCGCAGAACCGAAGAAGTCGATCGCTGTTATCTGTTCGTTGGCAGGGTAGAGCATAACTACCGCCTAGGCTTACTTCTGACACTCCCAGTTTTCCAACCTGCGTGTTGAAGTTACCTGCAAGCACAACCATGTCGGAGGTTCGACTCATCTGAATGAGATCGTCGAGTTCATCGTAGAAGGCGTTCTTTTGGGTATCCGAACTGAAATTGGTCGGTGCATATGCTGATAGGATGAACAAACACCTTTTGGATTTTTCTTCCCTTCTGGACACTGATTGAACCCTGGAGATGAACTGTACATAAGCGACTGTTGACGATCGATCAGAGAGGACTCAGCTCTGTCACCGAGTACATTATCTAACCCGCGCTGACCTATCGAACGATCTTCATCGTCGCCTGATATGCGAAGAACGTATCTCGACAAAAAATCTGGCGCGCTCAAGTGGCCTATGGTAGTAGGATCCTGGATTCGAGTCTCCAACGCGCAGCAAATATCGATCCCTAGGGATTCCATTGTACGCGCCAGACAAGCTTGTTGACCTAGGTGCATCAGAGTACTCACGTTGAAGTCCCCTTGATTCAGTGATTGACGAGGCTTTAAAATTTGCAGTTTGTTTCGTGGTACATTAGTTATAGTGCTATTTGGTAACGAACTTCGGCGAACGACATTTAATTCTCTTGAAGGACTCTTACAGATTGGAAGGAGGGGCAAATGGAGACGGCTGGGTGCTGAAGACAAAGAATCAAACAAAGATTAGGATATCTGAGCAGTAGCCCACTTATCACTACCCACCCCGCTCGATACAATGAGCGTCGCAGTCCTGATTATCCTGCGCGACGACCGATGCAGTATGAAATTATTTTTATTTTATGTATGCATTTGGGTTTGATGGACGGGTACTGCTAGGGTTTCTAGCCACTAAACAAGAGAGCGGTTAGGGTTCTCGTTCAACGCCTTTAGTTCTAACAATAACCTAACTGCAAGGCGGCGGGTGAAGCGAAGTAGAGACCCATTTACTTAGATCGATTACTCCGCCATTTTTACCGACTGGAACGCAAATTTCAGTCGAACCCCCAATCTGGAGAACTGGGAGACTGAACTTCGACTAACCTCTGTGGTCAATGAGAATGCGGGAGTCCAACTCCCTTGTGCTATAATAAAACTCAAATGACGGTAGTTTTACCAGTTGTGTTTGACGCCAAACACGGTTAAATGCTTTTGAGATTTCGAGCGAGATTCTGGTTGTCGAGTGAATTAGATCGATGGTGAGAAACTAGGATTAGTATATGGCCGGTGGATTGACGTGGTCGACAATCGTGTTGGTGATCACTCGGGAGTCCAACACGTTCGGGGTGTGAACAAATTTTATAAACTAATATTCTCTACACTATATTCTGTCTCACCCGCTATTCCCGCTCACTTTGTGCTCCTTTAATTTCCCTGATTAAAACTACAAATGCACAGAACACTAATGAAGCAGGTGGACGAAATGTTTTATTATCATTGTTATTTTCACTTAACGAATTCGCATTTTCACGGTTGCATTGTATTACTTCTCAAAGGTTTTGATTCGAATATAATTCAACCTGGTCGGAATCATCTTGTGTTTAATCTGTATGCTGGTACTTGGCCAAATTACCACGAAGACGAATACCGCATATCCCTCGGACAAGCCATACTTGCGAAAGCCAGTTTCTCAACCACACGCATTCGTCGCAATTTCGATATCTCGTTACCACTCATCCATCCACAACATGTGGAAACAATGCGAGAGTCCGTGGTTACTGGCACTTCTGATACCGGTGATCGTTTACGAGCTCAGGTTCGTCGACCGATTTTTTTGAGTTTCAAGGTAAGTACGTGGTGTCTCTGTTCACTTTTCTCTCAATCTTCATTTTCTTTATAAAGATAATTGGTTGTCTAACGGAACCGTGACATTGAATTTAGGGGCATTGTAACTCTGATGACCGGATCGTGAAGAAAATATGCAAGTGGGTGTAGAGTTTCAAATGTTGGTAACCCACTAATGGCAGTATGGTCCCCGCGAACAAATCGTGTATCTATTTATTTTTTATAAATATTGTACCGTGATTTGTTTGGCACAGTATGGATTCAGACCTGTGCGTTGTACAAAAATCAATGATTTAACCACAGATGTTTACAACTAAGTGGCCGTTTAGTGCTGTCCGATATCTGTCCTAATCAATCCAAGGTGGTCCTTAGAATGAACAGACTGGACGGGTTCGGGATAGAAATTTCATATTCATTTCTACATATTACATGGTATTTTTCATATGGAGCTGTTTTGATATTCACTCCTCACTTGAAGCTTCAGGTTTTCGAATGGATAAATTGCTACACACTTCTAAAATAGTGTGTTTAGATATGTCCATTCGATTTTCATGTCTATTAGACACTGTATATGGTCTGCTGCACTTCCTTCAGTTCGAATTAAAGTAGACGGATGTCATTCCATTTCAAAAGTTTATATTGCCTTTATCGGTTGAACTCAGTCATCTAGTTTAACGCGGATATTCCGATACAGCGTCACTGTTTGATGCAACCAGATTTTTACAATTTCAATTATCTCTATCAATCCTATATGTGATCTGGTGGAGCCACGGTGATCTATTAATGCAAATCTTATTTCTCTATCGGAACTTTTTCTTTGCCGTTTCAACTAGGCTACTCATTAGTAGACTTATGAGTATTGGACGTTATACCCATAGAACAGCATTGTCTTTTATAACCCCGTTGATAGTTGGTAGAGCATCACACTTTCCTGATATAAATATAATAGACATTCAGTAATCCAGTGTTTTTTTACATTCTTGGATTTCTTCATTAAACTCAATGTGTGAACCGGTTAAAGTTTGCTTAAGTCATGACAACCTCCTTCATACAGATTCTAACCGCTGTTCTTAAGCGACTTTTCGCACTCCCCACGACCGCACATCCAGAACAAAAAGCTTTTACTCAGGATTACCCTCTTCTATAGTATCTGCTTAGTAGTCCCTTTAACCGGTTTCCCAATCCAAATAACTATCAGTCTTCAGGGATCAGGGTAGAGGGCAGGGTCACCATCACCACTGGGTCGAAGGTCCGATCACAAGTGTTCGTTCCTCCATAGCCCCTTCAGATGCTCATCCAGACGCCGTTTGAAAGTGGCGTGTCGTCTCTTCCACCACAATCGCTAGTAGGGAATTCTAGAGTGTTTTTGACCTACGCGAAAGTCGGTAGACTAACGGAAGACCAACTGACTGAAGTTTCCGCACGCGAGAGAGTGCCCCCGCGTGCGGTGCTCTGTCCGTAAAGGGAAGTACTGTTGCAGCTCCGGGCCCATATTACCTCTCAGGATCTT